AGAATATCCCTTTGGATTTGAGACTTTAGTCTTTGCAACTTTACAGATCTTCTTTATGCACCAAGAGCTTGTAACCACCATCTTTGGAGGCTCCATTGTTTACGCAATAAACAAATTGTCTTCCAAACAGGGGGAGCCTGGAGGAGTCCGGCCAGCCCCTGCAAGGGCCTCGGCTTCATTCTGGTTGCCAGGTGAATGGAGCAAGACCATCCCTGAGCAGGACCAGAGGTGGACTGCCAAGAGTGTACTTCACTCTGGCAAGCTGTTCCCAGATTTTAAGCTTTGGTATAAGCATCCTGTCTCAGCCCTCAGTTACCACCAGATACCAACAACTGGTTCTTCACCCTATGGCTCTATGGCCTACAATGGTGGATTCCACAACACTTAAGGTGAGCTAATTGAAAATTATATTTAATGTAGCATCACATATCTGTTAAAATACTGTTATGAAGTTTCAGTACATCTTATGGTGGATTCCACAACACTTAAGGTGAGATAATTGAAAATTATATTTAATGTAGCATCACATATCTGTTAAAATACTGTTATGAAGTTTCAGTACATCTTATGGTGGATTCCACAACACTTAAGGTGAGCTAATTGAAAATTATATTTAATGTAGCATCACATATCTGTTAAAATACTGTTATGAAGTTTCAGTACATCTTATGTCTTTCTACTGTTGTTTTATAAGCCTGCCACTGCCACTGAATCTCCAGCTGCACCCCACAGTCTGAGGCTTCAGACACGGCTCCTGGCGTAATGCAATTAATGTGATGTACTTTATTGCAATTAACTTTATTTCTCTTTTTAGTTCGCCAAACTTGTGACAAGAACCTGATGGGCTATGGCATCCACAAGAGGGCTCGGAGGGTCCTGGACATCGACAGATACAGATGGTGACAGAGACACTCGGTTGCATTGTGTGATCTGGCTGCTGTACGTGTATGACTGAGGCTAATTTTTTCAGGTTCTGTGCCATTTACCAGAGTCCCAAGAAAAAGGGGACTGGTACAGTGTTCAGATGGGATCTCATCCTGGAGGACTACAGGATAATTGAAACGATTGCACCTATTTCTTGTGGTGTGCTCCAGGGTTCCCTTCTTTGGATTTGAGACTTTAGTCTTTGCAACTTTACAGATCTTCTTTATGCACCAAGAGCTTGTAACCACCATCTTTGGAGGCTCCATTGTTTACGCAATAAACAAATTGTCTTCCAAACAGGGGGAGCCTGGAGGAGTCCGGCCAGCCCCTGCAAGGGCCTCGGCTTCATTCTGGTTGCCAGGTGAATGGAGCAAGACCATCCCTGAGCAGGACCAGAGGTGGACTGCCAAGAGTGTACTTCACTCTGGCAAGCTGTTCCCAGATTTTAAGCTTTGGTATAAGCATCCTGTCTCAGCCCTCAGTTACCACCAGATACCAACAACTGGTTCTTCACCCTATGGCTCTATGGCCTACAATGGTGGATTCCACAACACTTAAGGTGAGGTAATTGAAAATTATATTTAATGTAGCATCACATATCTGTTAAAATACTGTTATGAAGTTTCAGTACATCTTATGTCTTTCTACTGTTGTTTTATAAGCCTGCCACTGCCACTGAATCTCCAGCTGCACCCCACAGTCTGAGGCTTCAGACACGGCTCCTGGCGTAATGCAATTAATGTGATGTACTTTATTGCAATTAACTTTATTTCTCTTTTTAGTTCGCCAAGCTTGTGACAAGAACCTGATGGACTACAGGATAATTGAAACGATTGCACCTATTTCTTGTGGTGTGCTCCAGGGTTCCCTTCTTGGTTCGGAAAGAAGACAGGAGAGGTAAAATAGGCATGGCAAAATGAGACACAGTTGAGAACCATAATCTAATAAAGTAATCAGCATTCTCATGGGAACGCCAATTGCCACAATCCCAACACAGAAAGACAAGAGTAAATAAATACATGTACAATACAATACAATACAATAAATCCACAAGAGAAGATAGACAGACACCACAGCGTCGTGACTCAGACGACACTCAGCACTAACCCCACTACTCTCATCCCCACCTATTCCATATCTACATGAGTTGATGATATCAATTCTCAAATGTCCTATAGCTTCCATAACACTGACCAAAAGCTGCTGGTTGGTAACCTCTCTGTTCAGTTGGTTAATACCGCTGGTGTTTTAGGCCTTCCAGTGCTATCAGAAATCTTGGTATGATTTTCAATCTTTCTCTCACCTTTTATTTCTCACGTTGACTAACTTATCAAAGCAACCTGCTTATACCTTCATAACATTGCTTGCCTTCATCCTACTCTAAATATCAAAGGTGCAGAAATTCTTGTACACACTTTATCACCTCCCCGACTACTGAATCTCTCTTTACTATGGCCTGCCCATCAAGATGATGAATAATCTTGGAAACATTCTGAACTCAGCTGCTCAAGGTCTTATGGGTTTGGATTGTCATAAGAGTAAATAACGACAAAGGTAACATTTTTTAATACATTTAGCCCTGTCATGGACTGGCGATTTGTCCATGGTGTTTCCCTGCCTTCGGCCCGAGATATGGGATCAGCTCCAGCAGCCCGCAAGCCTACAAGCAGTGTGGAGAATGAAGCAATTCTTTAAAATACTTTCTCTAATATATACTGTAATTAACAAGAAAAGGAAGGAAGACAAACTGCTTAAGATTGTTTATTGCAGCAAATTAATTAGAAAGGAAACAGTAAGTACAGGCATGCTACTGGAAGAACAACAAAGAATAAACTGTGCTGATAACATTCAGACCTGCGCACAACTATAATAATATTTCCATGCTTTTCTTGTATACATTTATAGTTGCCTGGCATTTCCAGAGTTCTACAATCAGTAAACATATCCAGATATTACAACATTCAATTGAAATCGACTAAATAAGCAAAAATACACCTACAATCTATGGGAACAAGTCATTTTGTTCGGTTTATATCAATTTATTGATAATCTTCAAGTTACGTTGTTGCTTTTCCCAGCAAGGTACAAGTTTGACTCGTAAATTTTGATTCAAAGGAAATCAACACATGGAATTCATAAAGAGATGAAGGATGCAAGTAAAAGAAGTAGTCTTTAGTAGGTAACAATCAGATGTAGCATTTTTTCTTGTCAAACTCTTGGGTCTCGGGGTCTCACATTTGCATGACTTTTCAGTGTGATGGCAAATTATTATTATATTATTACACTTGACTACAATTGAATTGTCTTCCAGAATGAATGCACAGATGATTATAAAAATCTCTCCTTTTTCTAAACCACTTCCCACTAAGGAAAATGGCCATTTCTTCTCAGAATGCGTTCGCAAATTACGTTTCATGCTGCGTTGACATGTGAAACTCTTCTCACACTGAAGACACTTGTAAGGCTTCTCTCCAGTGTGAACTCTCATGTGAATCTTTGAGGTTATCTTCTCTTGAGAAACTCTTTCCACAGTGATGGCACATGAGAGGCTTTTCTCAGATGTGAATTTTAACATGATCCTGAAGGTGATTCGTGTCTGTGAAACTCCTTTCGCACTGATGACATTTAAATCCGTTCTCTGAGTGAATCTTCATGTGACTAATAAGGTTTGCATTATATCTGAAACTCTTTCCACACTGATCACATGTGAATGGATTCTCTCCAGTGTGAATTCTAATGTGAGTCTTTAGGTTTGTTTTATTCGTGAAACTCTTTCCACACTGAGGGCAGGTGAAAGGCTTCTCTCCAGTGTGAACTCTCATGTGGGCATTAAGGAGTTTTTCTTGTGTAAATCTCCTTCCACACTGTTGACATTCAAATTGCTTCTCTCCAGTGTGAATGCTCATGTGAGTCTGAAGGTTTTCTTTTAGTCTGAAACCCTTTCCACACCGAGGGCAGGTGTAAGGTTTCTCTCCAGTGTGAATTACCATGTGGGCATCAAAGGTTCTTTTCTGTGTAAAACACTTTCCACACTGAGAGCATGTGAATGGATTCTTTTCCATGTGAATAATCATGTGAGTCTTAAGATATCTATTTAGTGTGAAACTCTTCTCACACAGTTTGCAGGTGAACGGCTTCTCTCCTGTGTGACTTCTCATGTGAACTTTAAGTTGACTATTTTGTGTGAAACTCTTTCCACACTGATTACACATGTAAGGTTTCTTTCCAGTGTGAATTATCATGTGAGTCTTAAGCTCTGCATTTCGTCTGAAACTGTTCCCACACTGATCACATGTGAAAGGCTTCTCTCCAGTGTGAATTCTCATGTGGACATTAAGTTGACTTTTCTGTGTGAAACTCTTTCCACACAGTTTACAGGTGTGAAGTCTCTCTCCAGTGTGAATTTTCATGTGGGCATTAAGGTAATATTTCCGTGTAAAACTCTTTCCACACTGAGGGCATATGAACGGTTTCTTTTCAATGTGAGTTTTCATGTGGACTTTAAGGCATCTTTTTTGATTGAAAACTTGTCCACACTGTTGGCAGGTGAAAGAGCTCTCTCCAGCATGATGGGGAGTTAAGTGGGAATTAAGGTTTGTAGTTTGTGTTTTTTGAGCTTTTTTAGGTGAGGAAGTCTTTTCAGTCTGTGAGCAACTAATTGATTCTTCTTCAGTTTTGAAATCATGCTGTTTCTCATTTTGATCTTTATCTTCTGTTTCATTCAGTTCTTGACTCTCCTCTTTCAGCGCCATGAAAAGAGACAAATACAAGTTAACACCAGTTTAATGGCACAAAGCAACAGATATCAAAACATTTACACTAGTGCTGTCAATCAATTCAAAAAAATAACTATGTGACAAACATAATTTCACAGTGAATCTCCAAATTAATGTAAAACAACAAAGACTGTGAAATATGTGGTTTAATGACATATTTTACCAAGTAGCCTATTGTTAATGAAGACCAGTCTCGTTTATACAAATACTGCTACTGATCTGTCTCTATTAAATGCATTTTCCTCCCAATTTTAGCCATTAATTATAGCCATTATTACTGTATACTCAAAAACCATTATTTGTAACATTTAAAAGGCTTTTGAAAAATAGTGAACTTAAAACAATCTTCACGTAAAATGTATATGCATAAACTATTAATTGAATAAATTAATATTTACTAAAGTCAATCAGAGCAGTGAGTGATTTATTTTCCTCTTTGACTTACATCAATGTCAGGCTGCAACAGGTTTCATTTTAAAATCATAACTAGAATAATATTTCCATGCTTTTCCTGATCATAAATTTAAAGTTGCCTGGTATTTCCAGAGTTCTACAATCAGTAAACTTATCCAGATATTACAACATTCAATTGAAATCGATTAAACAAGCTTAAATACACCTACAATCTATGGGAAGAAGTCATTTTGTTCAGTTTATGTCAATTTATTTGTAATCTTCCAGAGTTACATTGCTGCTTTTCCCAGCAAGGTAAAAGTTTGACTAATATTTTGATTCAAAGGAAATCAACACATGGAATTGAGTGACATAACTCAAAATATGAGGGAATTTACTGTATGCATGCATAAGATTTAATATGAAGCATCTGTAACGGTCACGTCCGTAACGCATTATTATGGTTGATAAGAGCAAAGAATGGAGATGAACTGTTGATCATAATCAGCATGGCCATAAGCTGGCTTTGTACAGAAAGTTTCAAGTTAATTGCATTAATAATTACTATACGATATAAACTTAAATCTTTAAAATGTTATGGACGTGTGACAGCACTGAAGCGTCCAGACCTCATAAATCTAGCCCTTATAAATCTAAGAATCATCGTTGTTTAGACAAAGTGAATTTATTTACTTTTCAGACAGGCCTCCATCTTTCTACAAAATACTTACTGTTGACAAATTAAAAAACGGGCAGTCTTTGATCTCTCATTTGAAAACATGAAATATAATCGGATGAAAATGTAATTTTACTTTAGGTGCACCCCCTCAATGTGGTGGATAAACATACAACTTCCTTCAAATTTTTATTAAAGCACATTAACGTTGTAAAATACAGACCTAAATACACAAGTTAAACAAAGTTTTATTCTTTTGGTAAAAAAAATATTTTTTCATGGTAAGGATGACTTTTGCATGGAATTGCCCAGGGGCAAGTGAAAGAAGAGAATTTTACTTGCCCGACCGGACAACTAATCTGTTTAAAACATCTAATTGCACCGACATTTTTGCGAGAATGGTTCTGATTTGATCACATTCGGTGTAAACGGCGATTGATAATGAATAATCAGTAACAATAAGGTCGCGCCAGTCGAGGCTCACGCAGCCTGTCTGTGAGAGAATCTCGTGGAGAAATCAAAACAAATTAATGTAACTGTACACAGAATGTAACTTGGTTTTTATATTTATAACACAGCCTAGTTAAGCAACATGACACGACCAAGAGAGTTACGTTTTCCCTGAAAACCACGATTGCAAATTCCATTCATAAGGACAGGCACTTGCTTCATTCTTGAATGAATCAGCCGTCTGAACGAATCGTTTGAAGGCATGCTTCAATGACTCATTAATTAAGATGAATGAAACCGCCACCTACTGGCGGTTTACTTTCATAGTAACCTATCTTTGCATTTTTTCCATGTCATGTGACTCATTAGTGTTACAAGGTCTCAGGTGTGAATGGGGAGCAGGTGTGTTAAATTTGGTGTTATCGCTCTCACTCTCTCATACTGGTCACTGGAAGTTCAACATGGCACCTCATGGCAAAGAACTCTCTTGAGGATCTGAAAAAACGAATTGTTGCTCTACATAAAGATGGCGTAGGCTATAAGAAGATTGCCTAGACCCTGAAACTGAGCGCCTTCTCCCACCTAATACTAATTTTAATAATACCTGACAAAATTAGGAAATACGGGACATCTGACCGCCAACCTAAAATTAGTTTGCCACCCCTGAGTTATAAGCAATAAACAGCATCATATATGAGCTCGTCTCAGTCCCTCTATAAAAATCCACCTGTTCCTAGAAGTCCATTGAGAGTTTGTTCCTCACATTTCTGTTTCTGTGTGTCTTAATGTGATGAAGATCCCACTCGTGTGCTGCTACATGAGTTCAGGAGAAACACTCATCCTAGATCAACTTCTGATAATACATTTACAAATGAGGGTGATTGAGTTTGTGTCGCTCAAAAACAACAGTTTGATTTTATTATGCTGCAGTTCATTATGAAGTTACTGGTCACTGACTGTATTATTTGCTCACCAAAGATCTATGAAAAACAAAGATAAACAGCATACAGTGACTCTACCAGGAGAAATGTTTTATTATTTTATAAGTAGGCTGGTGAAACATGACTATTTATTGCTTGTTGTAATGATCATTTACTGCTATCTACACTCAGATATGTTAATATATTAGTATGGCACTTTTGATGATAGCAGAAAAATCACTTACAAATAAAGCAAATGTCAAGTTAAAAACTGAAGTGTCATTGTTTGCTTCAAGCAAATACTGTTACAAGCTCTTGGTTCATAAAGAAGATCTGTAAAGTTGCAAAGACTAAAGTCTCAAATCCAAAAGAGTTATTCTTTATAACAGTTAAGAGTCAACCACACCTACCTAAAACGCCTCGTTCTAACACGCCCCCTCATGTCTACTTCAAGATGTGGAAATATTAGCATAATGCCGCCTATATGTGCACGTAAAGAAAGAATGCGTGGTTTCAGGAACAGCAGTCGTGTTGATGCAGGTAGAAAACGAAGTGTTTGAGAGAGGCGGGGCATAGAGGACCTACAATAATGTACAGTATTTGAAAAATAATGTGTTTTTTGAACATTAAAGCATGTCAACATATTCTGTTACACCAAATAATGATCTTTAAAATAGCATCATATTACCCCCTTTAACGTTACATAAAATAAGGTGTTTTTTTCTGTAGAGCTGAACATTTTAATAAGGATCAAATGAGTGAGTTCAGCTTTGAGAACGAAAACCAACCTGTTTGTTCCTCAGTATCTTCATGTTTGACTCTGAATGCTTCTTCAATCATATCTTCACTCTCCTCTTTAATTAACACCATCTTTGTTTGTTCCTCAGTATCTTCATGTTTGATTCTGAATGATTCTTCAATCTTCACATCTTCACTCTCCTCTTTAATAAACTCCATCTTTATAATCGTGTGTCACGTGGATCTCAGCTGCTTCTTCAGCAGTTTTTCTGTGAGTTTGGACACTTTGTCCTGTTTAGGATGAGAATAATTAACAAAGAAAAATAAATGCAAATTAAATCTCTGGGTGCGTCTCAATCAGCTCCTGAGTTCAGTAGTCAGTGCACTGGTAAGGGAGTCAGTCAGAGAGAGTTAATGCACTTACATTACCTACAAAAAACTATCAAAACTAGCACTCAAATAATAAAGAGAACACAAATTATATAGAAGGTTCATATTTGTATTAAGATTACTATTTAGTATTTGCTGATTTGTAGATTATATTTAATAGACCCCACTTTCATGAAAACATTTGCAGTTGTTTTGTAAAAGTTACACATGTTAGTGTTTGTTGTTCTCGTTGCATTTCAGCTGTTTTGAGTATCGTGCGGCGATTCGAGCGATTCAAAACAGTGAATCATTTTGTGAACTATTTGATTCAGTTGATTCGGAGATTCGAAAAGATCCGCTTCTCCATCACTAACGTTAGTAGCCAGTAACCGAACTCGTTTAAGATAAAATGATTCGCTATATAGGGACTGCAGTGTCACTAGATAAAGCGTTAAAGTGTTACATTAGCGACACAATTCATTTCACAGTTTTAGATACAATTCTCTAAACGAGTTGTATTGATTTAAACACTTTTAAATTATTAAAAGCACACACCTTTCTTCAGTTGTGATGCATCTCAGACGCAGGAGCGCGGCGCAGCCTAATGACGTCACATCGCCAGACCAAAATAAAAGTCTTGTTGGCTAAAATCAATATAATGTTACATTAGAAAAAAAAATCTTTAATTAAAATGGTTTAAATCATTTCTTCTAAAATGTTAATGTCATTTACATTTTCCCTGATTATCTTTATTAAAACTGGCAGGTAGTATCAAATGTGATTATAATAAACAAGCTATGTCAGATTTCAGTTACTGCAAACTGATTTACAAACATCATTTAACTTCCCATATCAGCCCTCTATGAATAACAAATGCAACGAAA